CGCTGCTTGGGGTCTCCGAGCCAGGAGGCTCTGTGTTTGCTGTAGGATGCATGTACGCAGGGGAGTGCATTCCCTCCTCCCCTCTCCTCTCCCCTCCTCTCCCTTCCTCTCTCCTCTCCTCCCTCCCCTCCCTCTCCTGTCCTCTCTCCCCTCCTCTCTCCTCCCCTCTCCTCTCCTCCCTTCCCCCCCTCCCTCTCCTCCTCTCCTCTCCTCCCTCCCCCCCTCTCCTGTCCTCTCTCCCCTCTTCTCTCCTCTCCTCTCCTCTCCTCCTCTCCCCTCCTCTCTCCCCTCCCCTCCCCTCCTCTCTCCCCTCCTCTCCAGATTCTGAGTACACATGCCCATGTGCCCGGCATGTTCTTCAAACCACCAGGTCAGGCCTGGAGCCACTCTGCTGGCTATGTGAGATCCAGCTGCCTTAACCACAGCTGGCCCTGGGCTGGGTTTTAGGGTCAGCTTCAGGGGCCTGTGGGCTCAAGTTTGGGTTCAATGCAGGATCTCTGAGGCCCAGGTCTGGGGACTCAGCCAGATGCTAGAATCCGAAGTGCAGGATCTTTGGGTCTTACGGGCCCAGGCCAGGAGCTGAGGTTTCAAGGTTTTGGATCTTATGAGTGAGACACAGGGGCTTGGGACGCAGGGTCTGGGGCCTATAGGTTCTGACCACAGTCTATTCTTGGGCTTTGGGGCATGTGCACCCAGGTCTCAAGGCTAGCTTTAGGTCAGGGTCCTTTGTCTTAGGGCCTGGGTCTGGGGCCTCGAGATGCTGGACTTTCAGGGCAGGAGACTCAGGCTCTCAGTGTCTTGGGGGGGGGTTTCCATTCTCCTGCCACAGGAGAGGGTCTTGGGTCTCAGGAACTTAGGGTGTGAGGTTTGTAGTTCCAGGCAGAATCTCGGGGTTTGGAGACTCATGGTCTGGGATCTTGGGGTCATGGAATCACGGACGTTGGGGCTCTTCCAGTCTTGGAGTGCAGTGCACACCTGGAGTTCCCGGGGTTGGGGTCTGGGGCCTCAGGGGCTTAGGTCAGAGGTGGGGGGGCAGAGCCAGAAGCCAGGCCGGGGGCCGTGCGGGGGGGCCTGCAGGCCAGGGCGTACCAGGAGCTGCAGGCGGCGGCGCAGGCCGGCCCCACGGGG